GTCGTTCAGGAGTTAAGCGCATTCAAACGAAAAATTTCGTGATTTATTTTTCATTTGAATAGTAAATATTACCTATCTGTTTGGATCTATAAGTATTGATAGGTATATTTTCTCAAGACCATGTGTTCTATATGGTATATGTACTTGTTAGGGGCCATCCATAAAGTACGTCACACTAATTTCATGAGTTTTTGAGCCCTCCCCCGTCCTTGTCACAGGTGGTCACATTTCTGAGACTCCCCCCTCCCTAGTGTGACGTCACATGTTTTGCAATTTAACATCGAAAAATTATTAAATTAAAACAGCAGTTCCGAAATTAGTTTTATTTCCATTTAAATCAAGTACTTTTTTATGAAATCAACATAGTATCAAATATTTGAAACAATAACAAAAAAATAAACTAATGAATATAAAGAAAAAGAAACTCAATCATCTTCAGTCCATGGACTTTGAACCGTTTAATTAATATTTCAATTTACGCGATTAGTACCTCTAGATTTTGAAATGTGATATCACGAAACTTAGGACCCCTCCCACCCCTTGTCACACCATGTCACACTTTGTCGACCCCCTCCCCCCCCCCCCCCCCCCTTTATGTGTGACGTACTTTATGGATGGCCCCTAGGACAAGCCCGCCACAACCTCCCAAAGCCGCTGCAACTTCTATACACCAGGATCTACAGTAGACACAACCATGAAAACACCGGAACACTGAAGTCCGGCGCGTCCCAGCGACATGAATGACTGTCTTGGATCCAGCAACGAAATAAATCAGAAGATATATTTTTTCAATGTGACCCCATAATATGATTTTCCCCTGTGTCGTGGGTGCGTTTACAAACATACAATTTCACATACACATCACACCTAGACCCGGAACAACAATGTCTGGATTATTCAAAGAGTTAAGGGAGGCCAGTTGCCCAGCGTTCACGCCAACCGTGCAGCCTCATTCTTATACTTATTAGCTCATACAAACACGCCTTTTATGAGTTTTCTAACAAGCCCATCCTTACTTAACTCAAGAGCTCTAATTACAATGGTTTCATAGAAAACCGGCGTGACACAACCAGAGCGTTGTTTTGCAATGTAAGTTGGGTTACCAGAGACCGAATCATTCTTCTCCACTTTCAATGCCTTTCTCATCATCATCAGCCTATAAGTGCCCACTGCTAAGCATAGGCCTCTTCTCATACGGAGAAGGTTAGAGCATTAACCACCACGCTTGCTCAATGCGGGTTGGCGATTTCAAACTTATAATTAGAAATTATAAATCCAGGTTTCCTCACGATGTTCACCTTCACCGTATGTCAGTGGTGTTTAAATAATCATAGAAAGTACATATAACTCGGAAAAAGTCACATTGGTACTTGTAAGTTTTCAAATCCTCACCATCATGCATGAAAAGCGGGCGCCTTAACCTTCGGGCCACCACGACTTATATTACGATTAAGACTAAGTTATGTTTAAAGTGGAAAATATTAATAAAAAGATACCTATCAAAACAGACAGTAAAATTTTCCATAGAAGGTATTAACTATAGATGTTTATGTAGTTAGGTTCCTAGACTAGACCTAAGTATATTGTTTGCTAGTCTACCTAGCTATAAATAATTCTAATGTTAAATGACTCACTTAAGAAACTAATAGTCCATCTTATTATGCGCAGTTTTAATTAAACTTGATTATAAGTACCTACCTACTACGTAATACCTAAGTACACAAGTAGTAGGTTTAAGTGTGGGAGAGCCATGCTTCGGCACGAATGGGTCGGCTCGACCGGAGTGATACCACGGCCTCACAGAAAACCGGCGTAAAACAACCACAGCGTTGTGTTTCGACGTGTGAGTGAGGTTACCGGAGGCCCAATCCTTTCGCTCCCTCAATCCCTAAATCTCCAAATCCCCAATCCCCTAAAGGTCGGCAACGCACTCGTAACTGCTTTGTTGTTTCGGGTGTCCATGTGCGGCGTTGATTGCTTACCATCAGGTAATCCGTGTACTCGTTTGCCGCATTAATGCTCAAACCTTCTCCGTATGAGAAGAGGTCTTTGCTCAGCAGTGGGCACTTATAGGCTGATGTTGATGATGATGACGTCGTAGATATTCGTCGTGGCTGACTTCTCCCGGCCTGAAGGGGAGTGTCAGACTGACTCTTCGATACTGATTATCGCATCAAAATCGGTTGCGTAGTTTTAAAGATTTAAGCGTACATATGGAAATAGGGACAGAGAAAGTGACTTTGTTTTGTACTATGTAGGTACTGATAACATATGGATTTAAGGCGCCCACTTATAAGTGCGCGCCTATAAGCGGATGGCTAACCTATCAGTATAGATAGGTATTTCTTTTTCTGCTTTTATTTGCTTTTAGTTTTTTTCAAGTCTATTTTTTATACTTATTTTTAATGTTATCCTTTATGTTACTTACAGAACGATCAATGAAATAAAAATCTCATCAATAAAAAATAATTAATCCAAAACAATACATAGCTACTGTTAAGCGTTGAGGAGTTCCCTTAGCTATCATACCACTTAATCATCAGACCCCTAATGACAATCGGATCTACGTTCTTCCCTATCTTTCTTTTTTTGGGAGGGGAAATGAGAGGAAGTGTAAGACTCTTACTGACTAAAACATCCCCGTTCCTTCTCCTGCTCTGGGCCGAAGTCGCAGTGCCTTATTGCGCTGGCCCCGCAACCCCGGCTGAACATCAGCGCTAATTGAGGCCCATCTGTGGCGTTAATCCCCATCTAAGTTGTCATCAATACAAATGAATCAAGCCCAAACACAAGGTCATTGCCGCAAATCCCCGAGGAGTTCCCTCAACGGTCTTTCGACTCCATCATCATCAAATTATAGTGGTTTAAAATACCTAATCACGAAACGAACAAACAAGCTAGTTTGACCCAACAAATTTCGAACGTTTCCCTCAATATCCCTGGGGGCCCGTCATCAGATCCTGACTTGGTGACAGTGAGAAAACTTTGAAACTACATAGGTAATAGGTATGAGCTTTCGGACCAAAAAAATAATCATTTAAATCGGTTTATAAACAACGAAGTCATTCGCAAAAAAACATAAACAAAATATGTAGGTATACCTAAGTATAGGTTAAGGTCATATTGAGAAACCTTATTCTTTTATTTTAAATCGATTGAAAACAGAATAACTCGACTTCTGGACAGTCGAGGCTATGAGCAAGATTCTTGGAACTTGATTGACTTAGGTATAATAACTTAAACATATAGGTAAGTAGGTAGTTGCAAATCGCCTACCTTCAAATACTTCTTTTGTTGCATAGATATATAGTTTACTAGCTACTCTCGCGCGGTTTCAACCGCTGCTCGGGTCCATTTGATCGTAGCGTGATGTTTCATAGCCTATAGCACTCAGGAACATTGTAGCTATCTATCAGAATAGAATTTTATAAATCCGATCTGCCTTTCCAAATATTACCCCTACATACAAACTTACAAATTTTACCTCTTTATAATATTAGTATCGATTACTAGCTATTCTCGCGCGGTTTCAGTCACTGCTCGACTCTATATAATCGTAGCGTGTTGTTTTATAGCCTATAGCACTCAGGAACATTGTAGCTATCTATCAGTGAAAGAATTTTCGCGGATGAAACCGCTCGAGAATAGCTAGTCTACAATATTATGATACTTTTTCCCCAATAATTAACATTATTCTTAACGAATAATATATAATATAATAATTAACGAATGCTTTAGCACGAATGCTTTAGCACGAATGCTTTAGAACGAATGCTTTAGCACGAATGCTTTAGCACGAATGCTTTAGCACGAATGCTTTAGCACGAATGCTTTAGCACGAATGCTTTAGCACGAATGCTTTAGCACGAATTCTTTAGCACGAATGCTCGATCGGAGTGAAACCACGGCGACGGTTGTGATTCGCCGTGTGAGTGAGGTTCTCCCTCCATTTAATCCCAATTCTTTAAATGCGAAACCATAAGGGTTTCGGATTTTCTTTAGCGGCCCTACAAGGTCTCATACGCACTATAGTCGGAATTTAAATTCCATTCCAGATTTGACAATTTCAGTGTTGCAACGTTAAGACACGTAATAAATAGTGACGTTGCGAAATTATTCGATATGGAAATCGAATATTTCTGAATCGATTCCTCTCGTTTATAAATTTACTCTCGTAAACTAAGTTTATCAGGAAATAAAATATTTCTGAACCGAAAATTTAGGTTTTTCAATTAATTAACGATCTAAGACTTTTCTTTTGTAATTGTGTGTGAAATTAATAAAAAAAATCATCATGAAGGAACATGACAAATAAAACAGACATTTTATAAATTGTCGCCGTCATCGCTATCGCTGTTACTTTCTGTAACGTTTATTATGAATTGTGTCTGTGATATTTATTGTCAATTAACATATCTAGCTTACTCATTTTTTCGTCTTCTTTGACAACATGGGATACGCATTTAGACCATTCGGTAGCCGTCATTTTTTTAAAGCCTTCCTGAAACTGATTCACTGATTGTTTATCGATTTTTGTGTTCATCACTACACTGTTATATGTAGTATCATTATTTCACAAAATGACAGTAGGTCATGTCAAATCAGGAATCGAATTAAAATTCTGACTATAGTAATCATTTGGTGTTGTCCATGGGCGGCGCTGATTGCTTACCATTAGGTAATCCGTCTGCTCGTTTGCCGACCTGTACCATAAAAAAGAACTCAGAAAATAAGAAAAATATTATTAATATAATAATTTATTCACATTAAGAACGAATTCAATAAATCAACAATTTGATATACTATAATAAAATAATTTAACACCGGTATAATATATTATTTCTACGTTTTTATGACAGCCATGACTTTCCCCTCTTGGGTGTGCGAGAGAGAGAGAGTCAGGTTCTTATTGACTTAAAAAACCCTGGTCCTTCTTGTTCCTGCTTCGAAGTCATCAATTACATCAGGTAATTCGTCGTCTCGTTTGCCGACCTTCCTCGTGGTTCTTAACAAATAGCCGGCGGAGCCAAAAAAGAGAGAAAAGTGTGGGAGAGCCAAGCTTCGGCACGAATGGGTCGGCTCGACCAGAGTGACACCACGGCCTCACATAAAACCGGCGTGAAAAAGAGTTGTGTTTCGCCGTGTGAGTGAGGTTACCGGAGGCCCAATTTTTCGCCTACCCCAATCCGTTCCCCAAAATCCCCAAAAGGTCAAAAACGCACTCGTAACTCCTCTGTCGTTGCGGGTGTCCATGGGCGACGCTGATTGCTTACCATCAGGTAATCAAACAAATCAAAAAAGATCATACCTTTACTATGTCATTTTCAACTTGGTCTATCTCTTTCCCTTTCTTTTCAACTTTATGTACCTTAAACATGTGCGTAAACATTTTCGACTTCTGCATATATTTTTTATTACAAATTCCACAATAGAAACATCTGCCAAAGTGCTTCTGCTGCTTATGTCGATTCAGAGTACTTTTCGTAGCGTAAGCTTGCCCACAAATATCGCACGCAAAGTTTCTAATTTGGTGTCTCTTTAAATGTTCTCCGATGTTCATGTAACTGCGTTTACAGATCTTACATTTCGTTTTCCCTACATCGACTAAGACGTCGGGTTTATGTTTTCTCAAACTGTGCCTTATAAGAGTTGCTTTCTGTAAGAATTTTTCGCCGCAAACGCTACAGCTGAATCGTTTAACGCCTTTATGACACTCTAGGTGTCTTTCTAAAGTATACTGGTTGGCTAGACAAGCGCCACAAACTGTGCACTTATATTTAGAACAATGTTTCGTGTACACATGACTCTTCCTAGATTTGGGATCGTCAAAAATCTCCGGACAGATCCTACACATGTATTTGTTTTCGTGTTTTAGAGTGTGCGTTTGAGCTTTCTTTTCGCTGTGCGTTTTCCAGTCACAAGAACTACAGGAGTATAGTTCTTTATTACGTAAATGTCTATTCGTATGTTCCCTATGACTGCGTCTAGTTGGAAACTTCTTGTTGCATATGTGACACTCAAAAGGCTTTAGTTTTCTATGTACCGTGTTAATATGATTGTTTAAATTTGTTTTATCGTTGAATCCCCAGCCGCAGATTTCGCATAGAATACTTTTATTGGTCCCACTGTGAACTCTCAAGTGCCTGATCAAAGTGCCTTTTGTTGTAAATATCTTTTTACATATATCACAGGTTGGTTGCGTTTTTAGGGACATGTGCACTTGTGTGTGAGCGTCAAAAATGTCCTTTTTTGAAAATGTCCTTGGGCATAGGCTGCATTGTAAATCTTTGTCGCTATTTTTATGTATTTCTAAATGTTTTAGTAGATTATGGTGGGATTTTACAACTTCAGGACAATTTTCGCACTTGTACACCATGTTACGGTGCCCAGAAAGGTGTTTATTCATAATTTTTATATTAGTAAATGATACACCGCACTCTTTGCAAGAGTAGTTAGATTTTTTGCCTATTTTTTCTTTTATTATGTGTTCATCGATTATCTGATTTACAGTGGCTGTAAGAGAAACAAAGATATTAAAACAAGGGAGTAGTTAAATGTGTGGAAGTGTAGACTTCTTTTTGTGGGTGGAAAATTATTGAATGACTTCTCTTGGGCTGGTTAGGGCGAGAGGGTGTGTCAGAATCTTACTGACTAAAAACCCCCCGTTCCTTCTCCGAGTCTGCGGTAAATTATTACACTTTGCCCTCAATTCCAGGCTAGTATGGACCCTCTGAGGCCTCTGTTCAGGTGATTTAAAAAAGCAGAATCGTATAACTGTTTTCAATTTCAAACTTGTGGGAAAAAGTGTGGGAGAGCTTCAGCCGTATGGGTCGGCTCGACCGGAGTGATACCACGGCCTCACAGAAGACCGGCGTAAAACAACCACAGCGTTGAGTTTCGCCGTGCGAGTGAGGTTACCAGAGACCCAATCACTCTCCTCCCCCCATCTCTTCCTAATCCTTAAATATCTGAAACCCTTATCCCTAAAAGTCCGGCAGCGCACTCGTAACTCGTTTGGTGTTGCGGGCGTCCAAGGGCGGCGCTGATTGCTTACCATCAGGTAGTCAATCAGCTCGTTTGCATACCACAAAAAAAACACATATCCATAGTAGTCTTCCACTCCACAAAGGTCGGCAACGCACTCATAAGTCTTTTGGCGTTGCAAATGTCCATGGGCGGCTTTGCTTGCTTAACCTCAGGTAATCCGTCTGCTCGTTTACTGGCCTATACTGTAAAAACTCACCCTTTCCTTTATTTGTAACTTCTTTATCTTTAATTAATGTTTTATTATTATTAATTTTCTTGTCATCTACGTCCAAATTTTCATTATCTTCTAAAGGATTTATCACAGGGATGAGAATTTCATTTTCAGGTTTTTCTGTAAAAAGAATATAACCAACAGAGTTATATTATTGAAACAATGAAACAATGAATTTATTTTTGCAAATAGGCCATAAAACGGCACTTTTACACGTCAATTTATATGTGAAAAACTAGATGAAGCCGGCATTTCCTATCTGACTACTCTGAGAAGAAATGCCGAAACAAACTCAGAGGTCAGTCTCTTTTCAAGTCCAGACAATGTAAAAATAACATAATGTGAGAGAATCGTGGAAGTTCATTCTGTAGTGGTCTTTTGAGGAAAGAACCACACCAGTTTAAGTGGACCCGTTCTGAAGACAGGCACGCAAGTGTCAGTTTGCAACCAGTATAGCTAGTGCTGCTGAGTTGTCCGACGAACAATACCGATCTAAAGAACATTTGGGTGGGTCGCGCAAGTACTCAAACTGTCAGAACGCAGATAACTGGTAATCAAAAAGCACGGCAAGTCTCACACGGTCCTTACACTAACAATAATATAAAATAATAAAAATGTCAATAAATAAATAAAAAAAAATGTCAAATAAAAAATAAAATGTCACAATAGGTGATTATGTCATTGTATAAAAAATAAACGTAATGTCAAATTGTATATAAAAGTGTAACTTATGTTACAAACATGTCAACATGACCTGTGCAGACATTACAGCGGCTCATTCCCATGCCTGACTATCCTCTAAGTAGTCTTTTATTTTATAAAATGCTTTACAGCAAAGTTTAGCCTTTATTACACTTTTAAATTTATTGAGGCTCAAATTTTGAATATCGCTAGGAATTTTATTGTAAAAGCGTATACATTGACATCTAAACGAACTAGTTATTTTCTGAAGCCTGGAGGCAGGGACAACATATTTGTTTTTCCCCCTCGTGTTAATATTATGTATATCACTATGCTTCTTAAATAAGCTTTTGTTTTTATGAGCGTGAATTACATTTTCATAAATATATTGTGAGGCAACCGTCATTATCTTAGTTTCCTTAAATAATTCTCTGAGCGAATGCCTCGGACTAAGATTATAGATTGATCGAATAGCCCTTTTCTGCAGAACAAAAATAGACTGAATGTCAGCAGCATTCCCCCACAACAAAATACCGTATGACATGATGCTGTGGAAATAACTAAAATAAACTAACCGCGCTGTATCTACATCTGTTAAATTTCTAATTTTTTTAACGGCATATGCTGCAGAACTGAGCTTCTTCGACAAGCCATCTATATGAGGGCCCCACTGGAGCTTAGCGTCCAGGGTTATACCTAAAAAGACAGTTGTATCCACAGGACTCAACTCCTCGCCCTTGACAAGCACACTGGTTTTTACCTGTTTAACATTTGGTGTTGTGAATTTAATACATTTAGTTTTAGTTTCGTTAAGTAATAAGTTATTAACACCAAACCAGTGAACTATTTCTGAGAGAGCCCTGTTTACATTGTCAATAACTAATTGTCGTCGTCTGAGTTTGAATAACAGTGAGGTATCATCAGCAAACAGCACTATCTCGTGTTTATCCCTTACAAGGTAAGGCAAGTCATTAATATAGATAAGAAATAAAAACGGGCCGAGAATAGAACCCTGCGGAACACCCATCTTCACAACAGACCCGGCAGAAACCACTCCGTTTACTTCAACTCTCTGAACCCTATTACTCAGGTATGAGGTAAGAAGGTCCAGAGATGCACCTCTTATTCCGTAATGGGATAGCTTCCTGATCAGTGTATCATGAAGCACACAATCGAACGCCTTGGATAAATCACAAAATATTCCCAAAGCGTCGCTTGAGTCCTCCCACGCGTCGTAAATGTGATTAAGAAGTTCAACACCGGCATCAGTTGTTGAACGACCCCTTGTAAATCCGAACTGTTTCGCATGTAATAATTTATTTCTATTAAAAAATCTTTGCATTTGATCTAAAATAATTTTTTCAAAAATTTTACTGAACGTAGGTAGCACTGAAATAGGTCTAAAGTTAGTGGGGTCAGAAGTACTACCTGATTTAAATAATGGAATTATTTTACTACATTTCATAAGATCAGGAAACACACCACAGTCAATACAGTTATTAAAGATTTGAGCTAATACAGGTGCTACAATAGTTATTACAGAGCTTGTAATATACACAGAATTGCCCCATAGATCTGCAGTCTTTTTGTTATTCAAAGTATTAAAGATTTTAACAATTTCCTTGTTATCTATGTGCTCGAAGGAAAACCCTGAATCGCAAGCTACAACATGTTTTTTGAGTAAAGACTCTGCAACAGTGGGAGATGAATTCAGTGACTTAGTAGTGGATACAGGAATGTCGGAAAAGAAATTTTCAAAAGCAGTTGCAATTTCTACATCCGCTTTTATTAACTTATTATCAATTACAAGACTATGTTGATTTATTCTCTTTTTAGACCTTCCTGCCTCACCGTTGATAATATTCCAAGTGTCTTTGATAACATTGGTACTGTTCGTTATCTTAGAGCTTAAGAATAATGATTTAGCAATAGAGCAAACCTTTTTGAATAATTTAGAATAGTTTTTTACATATTCACTGAATTCAACAGTGTTAATATATGTCCGCTCATTATAAAGCTCATAGAGGCGCTTTCTACTCTTATAGATACCAGTGGTTGCCCAATCACCGAAAGACGCATTGCTATTAGCTGGTATAGTTTTATCTGAAAAAGTAGACTTAAACTCTGTTAGGTACATTTTAAAAAACTTATCATATAAAGTGCTACAATTCTTATAATTCAACAACAAAGGCAATTTGTTGCTGAGTTTAGCTTTGAAAAATTCAATGCGTCTTTTAGTCTTCGGATTAACTGTGATAAATTGTTTTGATACTATATTTATTTCTTTTGTTAAAGAAATTAACTGACCACAGTGATCGGAATCAAGTACTGAAATTATTTCTTTGTTAACTGGCACAATGTCAGTATAAATATTGTCCAGGCAAGTGGCACTAGTGGGTGTTATCCTAGTTGGCTCCAGAAACAAATTCGCAAGGTTGTATGAAGAAAATAAACTTACAATTTTTGTGCTTAAACTACATTTTTCTAATAAATTTATATTAAAATCACCACATGTAATGATGGATTTCTTTGAATTTGTAAATTAAAATTAATTCCTTCCTTTGTTTCGTTTAATGAATCTTCTAGCTTTTGCCGTTTGGGTAAAAAGTAGCCAAAGTGTTATTCCAGACTATAATGTACCTCTGTGCCAAATTACATTCAGATCCGTACTTACACACTTTCGCGTTTATAATAATACTAGCGGTAGGCGATATAAAACATCCAAACATCGTAACTTTCGCAATTATATCTATACTAATATTATAAAGAGGTAAAATTTGCAAGTTTGTATGTAGGGGGTAATCTTTGGAACCGCTGGTCGGATTGACAAAATTCTTTCACTGATATATAGCTACAATGTTCCTGAACGCTATAGGCTATAAAACATCACGCTACGATTAAATGGAGCCGAGCAGTGGCTGAAACGTCGCGAGAGTAGCTAGTTATTAATAAGGTAACCGATAGTTTAGGTTACGGAGCTGCTTAACATCCCTGCATCCAACCGAGGCGATCTGGTGACGCTATGGAGTTGATGTAGTGAACGCATGTCCATATAAGGCCATATAAAGAAGACTTGGTGCGGAATGGGAGCCGGATGGCTCTAATAAGCTGTGACTTTTAGTCGGTTTTTACGAAAACCACAGGAAAAATGGCATTGGTGGCTAATATATAACGAACTAGCTTTTGCCCGCGACTTCGTTCGTGTGGAATAGTGACTTCCTGCAGATTTTTGGTATAAAAATCTCTATCTTATGTCCTTTCTCGAGTTCAAAACTATGACCTACAGAAATCGGTTCAGTATTTTAGGCGTGAAGAAAAGACAGAGTAACTTTAGCATTTATAATATTAGTTTGGACTAGCTTCTATGAGGTTTCACTCGGTGCTCGGCTCCTACAAATCGTAGCGTGATGTTTCATAGCCTAAAGCCTTCTTCAATAAATGTCACAGAAACAAACAAAAGAATTAAATTCGAACCAGTACTTCTAGAGATTAGCGCGTTCAAACAAACAAACAAACACCCCAGCTTTATAATTTTCAGTAAGTATAGCTAACGCACCTTCTTTCAAGTCCTCAAAGTTTTCAGTTTTGTCAATTTCAATCATAAGTTCTGAAACGAAAGAAATAAATTTTGAAATGAAATATATACTAGGTACGGGAGTCAAGCTTCGGCACGAATGGGTCGGCTCGACCGGAGTGATACCACGGCCTCACACAGAAAATCGGCGTGAAACAACGCTAGAGTTGTAAGCAGCTGTGATACTGAGGTTAATGAAAACCCATACAATTTTCTTCCTATACCTAATTCAAGAAATCCTCAAATCAAGTGACAGCCATGCTTTGCCACGAATGGGTCGTCTCGACCAGAGTAATACCACGGCCTCACAGAAAACCGGCGTGAAACAACCACAGCGTTGTGTTTCGCAGTGTGAGTGAGGTTACTAGACGCCCAATCCTTCCGCTCCCCCAATCTTTAATAGCCAAATGGTTGGCAACGTACTCGCCACTCCTCCGTTATTAGCCAGTGTGTCCATAAGTGAACGACGCCTGGTTGCTAAAACAACAACGCGAATCGCGACAAACGAGAAAATCTGAGACCCAAAGTCCGGCAACGCATTTCTAGGTTCTGTTGTTCGGCGGCGCCGATTGCTTACCATCAGGTAATTTGAATGCTTATTTGACTACCTACAGCATTTTTCTAAGTCTCACTGCTGGGCAAAGGCCGTCTAGCTTCCACACCTCCCGATCCTGCGACCGTGTCCACCAGTCTCGACGATAGGCGTCTAGATCGTCACGCCATTTTACCTTTAGCAAAAGAAGAAAAATATAAAGTTCTGCCTACCTTCTTTAATGTTTGTTGTCGAATGATCAATGACAGAGTTATTGTCATCGTCATCATCATCTAAAACAAAGAAAAAAATCTGTTTCAATCATATATGACGGCGGCGTCGTCAATTTATCGAACGAGACTGCAACGAATCGTATTCTGGCGGAACGTCAAACAGCTGTGACTGTCATATGAGACGGATCGCAGACGTCCGTTATTTTTGTAATTTATTCGGTCTGATTATAAAAAACCTACGCCCTGCGATGTACTGCGAAGACGATAATCGGGATGTTGATGTTTGAACCAACGCCCCGGTGCCTTCATATATATTTTTAAGGAAACAAAAATAAATAAAAAATAAACCTAATTGTGGGAGAGTCATAACTTCATCACGAATGGGTCGGCTCGACCATAGTGGCACGACGTTATTAAACAGAAAATAACAATATAAGTAATGTTTGTTTAAAAAGTTTTTAATGGTAATACCTAAATGTTTTTTGTGAGAGAGAGAAAATCATAAAATGACTTCTCTGTCAGTTCTTTCCTCAAAAGACCACAACAGAATAAACTTGCACGGTTCTCGCACATCATAATATTAGTTTTTACATTGTCTGGACTTGAAAAGAGACTGACTTCTGAGTTTGTTTCGGCATTTCTTCTCAGAGTAGTCAGATAGGAAATGCCGGCTTCATCTAGTTTTTTTACATATAATTTTAAGTGCTGTTTTATGGCCTATTTGCAAAAATAAATTCATTGTTTCACTCTTACTGACCAAAAATAGCCCCCGTTTAACTTTTTGCGCTTGCCTTGCAGCTCCGGCTATCAGCCTCCGAAGGGCTCCGTCTGTGTTGGTCCATTGGCTCTTACGTACGGTAGAAAAAGCATACTTACAATTATTTTCACTATCACCGTTGCTGTGGCAACAACTATTTTCCAAATCGTCCTCTACCTTAACCTCTGGGTGTGTAAAGAATTGTTCATCTGGAAGAAATAAATACAATATTTCAGATTGGGAGAGCCACGCTTTGGCAGTAATGGACGGCTCGATAGGAGTGTTACCACGACAATTTGACCGTGAAACAACGTCTGCGTTGAGTTTCGCCACGTGAGTCAAGTTGTTCAGACTTATCAATCTCCAAAATCCTCAAATCCCCCATAAAGCCAGGATCGTATTCATAGCCAGTATGTGGCAAGTCCTCGTCTACTCATTAGGGCAGGCAAAAAGGCCCAATCCTGGTAGCACTAGCAATGTAATAGGCGGCACAGCTTTTCTGCTCAACAGATGGCGCTGGTGTCGACTTACGTCTTTTCGTCCAATAGGGAATTAGCTTGCATCTCACTCAAAGTTTTTTCACAGCTATTATAAAATAACGGATAAATTTTTTCACCAATCCCATAAAAATATGGTATTTAATAAAATGCCTACGGCATTACCTCCTAACTCCAATAAGATATTGGTATTAAATTTAATAAATGTGAGCACATAATTCCTGTTTATATAACCGCAACAGAGTAAAAGTAACCATGGAGTTTCTTGCTCGTTCTTCTCCATAGGAATCTACACTTTGGAACGAGCAAATAGCTTCACTAGAGGACTGACCGACAGACTTCTTTATATCTTTGTACAATGGTATGAAATAAATGATTTGAATTTGACTTTGACTTTGCAACTTACTTTCACAATACTCCTTAAACTTTTGCTCACAAGTCAAGTTGTTCAGACTTATCAATCTCCAAAATCCTCAAATCCCCCATAAAGCCAGGATCGTATTCATAGCCAGTATGTGGCAAGTCCTCGTCTACTCATTAGGGCAGGCAAAAAGGCCCAATCCTGGTAGCACTAGCAATGTAATAGGCGGCACAGCTTTTCTGCTCAACAGATGGCGCTGGTGTCGACTTACGTCTTTTCGTCCAATAGGGAATTAGCTTGCATCTCACTCAAAGTTTTTTCACAGCTATTATAAAATAACGGATAAATTTTTTCACCAATCCCATAAAAATATGGTATTTAATAAAATGCCTACGGCATTAACTCCTAACTCCAAAAAGATATTTGTATTAAATTTAATAAATGTGAGCACATAATTCCTGTTTCGATCACCACAACAGAGTAAAAGAAACCATGGAGTTTCTTGCTCATTCTTCTCCATGGGAATCTACACTTTGGAACGAGCAAATAGCTTCACTAGAGGACGGACCGACAGACTTCTTTTATATCTTTGTACCATGGTCTTTAAGTGAAATAAAAGATTTGACGTTGACTTTACAACTTACTTTCACAATACTCCTTAAACTTTTGCTCACAACTCTGCACTTGCGTTTTGAAGTCCGTCGCATCTCTAAGTTTGTCAATACATTCCTCACATATTGTGTAACTAGCTTCTAACTGCGGTCTAGATATCTGAAAAGAAAGAAAGAAAATGCAATTGTACTGCATTGGTTTTTGTGAGGGGAAGATCATCAAATGTCTTTCTCCCGCCCAAGGAATGGTGAGAGGGTGTGTGTCACATTCTTACTGACTAAAAACACCCCAGTTCCTTCTTCTTGTATTGTTAAAACGTTGCCATTGGGTTTTTCTCACTTTTTTACATACACATGACACCCAGACCCAGAACAACAATTTGTGGATCACACAAAGAGTTGTTCCGTGCGGGAACCGAACCCGAGACACGTTGCACGGCAGCCAGTTGCCCAGCCACCGCGCCAACCATGCAGTCAGATTCAAGTATCAAAACTATTTATTTACACCCTCATAAGTATAACAACATCAATGACAGAATCAACATAAATATGCTTATATTATATTCATTGTATTATGCATTTTAATAAATTACTTTTATCTTGAGTTTGTTCTTGTACTTTTTTGCACCAACCATATTCTTACTGCATCACCCAAAGGTTGGCTAGCGAGAATGCTCATTGGCATTAAGCCCACCTATGTACTTTGTGCAAAATGGTAAATAAATAAATTTTGATACCAATAATTAAATTTAGATTAAAAAGATAATACAATGGGGCCCATGTACAAATTAGTTCTGACTTTTTTACATTTAAAATTACATCTACAATAAAATAAGTGCTTTCTAATATCTTAACATAAACTGAGGAGGATATCTGTTATCATTATATCTATAAATATAAACTACTACCTAATATGTGCATGAAATATTAAAAACAAGGATTTTCTTCGGACTGAATAAATTTATGAAAAATTGACTCAAGATTATATTTCGGTTCACTTATAAAGCTCTTTTTATGTAAAGTATGTTTTTTAAAATACATTTATTATACTTACAATAATCCCCAAGGTGTCTTTTAGCATATTTTCGTAAATTTCGACACATTTTTTACCTTGATACGTTAACTTTAGGCTTTTAAAGTGTCCATCGGCGTGACAACAACGGCACAATGTACTCAAATTCCATATTTCAGACATTACTTTATAGTTTTTTGGTTCACTTAATAGTATTTTTCCGAAATAAATAACAATTTTGTGCTTTTCTAAAGTTATTTAGATTTGGTTTGCTATAGGCTGCTATAGGTGGACATTCCTGCTGTCAACTGGAGATAGGTACGAATTTATTTTTAAAGGATGGTATCACAGGCTTAAAAATATCGTATTTTACTAAGATCTCAAAAAATCGTACCTATTATAGTAGTATTTCAATAAATTCTTAATAAATTCATTGAAAAGTAGTAATTCGGTTTCAGTATACATTTATACTGTGTCTAATAACGTGGTAGCCCGGAAGTTAGGGCCTCTCAAGCATGAATATATGTCAATAGTTTAAAACTTGGCAATGCGTCTTTTCCAAAAGTAGGTAGGTATTTGTACTGACTATTTATTTATTTAGTGTACAGATCTGAGATCTGTAGTAGTAGTATTAAACTCACACGTATTTACAATTAAGTAACCAATTTAATTTATCTAACAAGACAAAAGGATTTTTAGTTTAGCGCATGTTATTGTCATATTATTCGCCAACCTACCTACGTTCAAGTCTTGACTTTATTACTAATGTATGAATTTATTTTCGATTCTACGTGTATCGTATGCTTTTGCAGGCTTTTGCCTACGATTTCAATTACCTACTCATTGTGTTTCGTCGTGTGAGTGAGGTTACCGTTCCTCCGTTGTTTCGGGTGTCCATGGGCGGCGCTGATTGCTTACCATCAGGTATGCCGTTTGCTGACTTCTTAAATTGTATGGTTGGCAACATTAAGGCAGGAGGAGGCCAACGAATACAGAAATAAATGTTCAATTTGAACCAGTAGTTCCGGAGTTTGGCGCGTTCAAACAAACAAACAAACTACTTTATAGTAAATGTTACTGGTCTAGCTAGTGATGTAAGCCGCTATCGGCTATTAAATAAACATTTGTACTAAACTATATGATATACTAAATATATGATACTTGAGGCATGTCGACTAAAGAAACAGCAGATTCTATTTTTAGAAATCATAATACAGTAGTTTCCAACTAGTCAAATTCAATACTTTTATCCAAACGTCAAAAACGATACCTTTCTATGAAATTTGTATGAAAAACTGAGTTATGGCGTCATAACATTTTTGCGTCAAATAGCTTACTTATTTCTTAATAATTAGCTAAAAAAATCTAAAACTGAGTGTATCAATCGATCGATGAATAAAAGTATACCTAGTTATTTTTCAATATTTTATTGTATTGAAACGTCGAATTAATTTATTTTTAACCTAGGAATCTACCCAATTGCAATAGCAACGTGTGGGAGAGCCATGCTTCGGCACCAATGGCTCAACCAGAGTGATATCACGGCCTCACAGAAAACCGGCGTAAAGCAATATAGGTACTTACGTAGTGTTGTGCCGTATGCGTGAGGTACCGGAGGCCCATCCTCAATCCTCAAATCTCTTACCCTTAAAACCCCCCAAAAGACGCCGGCAACGCAGTTGTTGTAACGTTGATATTAAGAGTATCCATGGGCGACGCTGATTGCTTACCATCAGGTAATCCGTTTGCTCGTTTGCAGACTCATTGCAGAAAATAGCGCTGCAGTTCCATAGACAGCTGTTCATTAGGTACAAATAAAACAATGATTTCTTTAAAATTTGTTTTATTATAAATAACTACACGCAAAAGCGATGTACATCAATAATTCAGCTTCGGACTTCGTTTTACAACGTTACAGTACAAACTGATTACAACGTAATAATATAATTGTGACAGAAAACTCTTTGACATCATGACGTCAATGGATGGTTGTCAAACGTTGCCTAGAGATTGTAAATTTCGTCGTGAATTGTCAACACGAGTTGGTGTAATCGGTAAGGCGTGTGGATTACACCACAGAGACCCCGAGTTCGAGTCCCGCCGTAAACATGAAGTTTTTTAGTTGATGGAAGTTTTGTCGAACTTTCTGGAATATTTGAGTGAAAGTGATGAAAAATTAAGGAGCGAGAAGGAGAATAAATAAAAATGAATAACGAAATTATTGGAAGGTTCTGGAGGCATGACGATCAAAAAGAATAACGAAATTGAATGTTCTAGAACCTGACCGGGGGTATATAAGCGGAACTGCGGCTCACCGCTGGCAGTTGAGTTCTAAGTCTAAAGCGATTCGGAAGAAAAGGAAGAAGTGAGAAAGAAGAAAAGTGAGTGAAATAGTGAAGTGCAGTGAAATAGTGAAGTACAGTCAGTTAAGTGAGTTAAGTCAGCGTGAACGGCAAAGTTGTGTCAGTCGGCCGGACTCTGCTGGAGAGGAACGCCGATAACTTAACTCCGTGGACGCTGTAACTTAAGTGCAATAGAAAGTCTGAAAACCGGTATTAGTGTTTCATTTCATCCAATCCCGTAACCCAAGCCCGCATAGTCAGGAACGTGACGGCAGGCACGTAACATTTGGTGTCAGAAGTGGGATTGGAGAAAAATGCCGCTAGTGCCGCAGGACGTAAGAGGAGTGAGTACCCGTTCAATGTCAGAAGCGCAGCGTGTGAGGGAAGAGGGTGCTGCAGCTCAAACCAGCGATGCAGAAGCCAAGCCTGTGCAGGTGGATCTTCTGCTACAGCTGCAGCAAATGATGGCAGAGCAAGCGCGCCGCCAAGAAGAGCAAGCGCGCCGCCAAGAAGAGCAAGCGCGCTGTCAGGCAGAACAGCTGCGGGAGCTGAAAGAAGAGCAAGCGCGCCGCCAAGAAGAGCAAGCGCGCCGCCAAGAGGAGCAAGCACGCTGTCAGGCAGAACAGCTACGGGAGCAAGCACACTGTCAGGCGGAGCAGCTACGGGAGCTGAAAGAGATGCATAAGGATTTCACGAAGGGACTGCAAAAGGCTGTCGAACGGGTACAAGAAGTGGAGGAAGGGTTAGGCAAGTTGAAACTTCGCGTCATGGCGATAGAGGAGAGACTGGAAGAAGAGATCTCCAAAATCAAGCAGGAAGTGACAAACCCAAGCCCTTTGAAGAGCCGAAGCCGTCTTGCAGCCGTTTTTGACGCCCCAAATGCGGCCTTAAGCGCAACGAAAGGGCTCAAGATTCCCCATTACGACGGAACAACATCCTGGACTGCGTTCAAGCTACAGTTTGAGACACTTATGGAGGCTTATGGTTGGACTCAGAAGGAAGCACAGTCAGCCCTTACCCTGGCCCTCCGTGATCAAGCGCTCTCAGTGCTGGAAGCTATCGGCGCAAGTGGGGATCTCAGCTTTAGTGCCCTCCTCGACGCACTTGAAGCACGTTTTGGAGACAGCCACCTCGAGCACGTGTATAGAGCGCAATTAAAAGAGCGTACTCAGCGTGCTAATGAGAGCCTACAGCAATGGTCCGTGGAAATCGAGAAACTTGTACGTCGAGCTTTCCGGTCGACTCCGTCAATGATTGAAGGCACGCTTCTCCAAGCGTTCATTGACGGTATTCGGGACCCAGAAGTACGAGCTGCTGTTCATCTGGGCCATCACAAGATCATGAAAGAAGCTCTGGCCCATGCATTGGAAGTGGAAGCCGTGCGTAGCAACTCCCGTACCTTACGTCTGCGGGAAATGACGACAACGGAGCAGGTACCTCCACGCCGTCGGAACTTCATGTGCTATGGATGTGGAGAGCGTGGGCACATACGGAGCGACTGCCCGAAGAAGATGAACCGCAAGGACGCGGCGGTCTCAACTTCTGACCAGCAGGGAAACTTAAACCCAGCCAGGGCTGCGGGGTGGGCGCCGGCTGGTAGTGGAACAACCCCAACAATCTACATCAAGCAAACCAACGATGGAAATACTCTGGTGATAGACGGTCAAGTAAATGGGAAAAACAGTCAGCTAACATTAGATACTGGAGCTTCAAGGACGGTGATAAATGTTCGGCTGCTCGAGCACAACATCAGGAAACACCTTAAACCAATTGTTGGCCTACAAATGAAATCAGCTACCGGCCAGTGCATACCGATAAGTGGAAAACTGCATGTAACAATCAAAATTGGGGAACGTGTTTATCGACATGAGGTTATTGTGGCCAAAATTCTGGATGACTGCATCCTGGGACTTGACTTCCTGCAAGGGCACCAGTGTAACATCGACTTAAAATCTGGAGTATTACTATGTGGAACTGAGGAAATTCCGATGAAGGGTGGAACCCTGGGAAAAGTTTGCTGTTTAAGAAGAACTGTTCTTGCACCAAAATCACAGACTCTCGTACCAATTGCATTACCTAGGAGGAGGGAAGGAAGTTTACCTCGAAGGTGCGCTGTGATTGATAAATCGGAACACGTAAACTCATGGCTACCGGCAAGAACTGTCGTGGGGTCATCTGATGTTAACCGCATTCCGGTATTCAACTTCAGTGATTCAGAAATTACGATTGAAGAAGGAGAGCCTGTGGGCGTATTGGAAGAAGTGGCCTGGATAAGAAAATGCTCGGAAAATGTTGTGAAGAAGGACAGTACGGGAATAGACTTTGTAACGAAAATCTTAGACGAAAACAAAAGTCTGACAAAAGTGGAGACTATGAAAGCTAGAAATTTACTTCTTCGATTCTCTGATGTGTTTTCAAGAAGCGATGGTGATATTGGCCGAACTGGTTTGGTGAAGCATAAAATAAACACAGGTGATACAATGCCAATTCGTCAAAGGCCCAGACGTATACCATTCGCTCGTGAGAAAGAGGTTGAAGAAATGATTGACGATATGAGGAAAAATGACGTGATAGAGCCCTCTTCTAGCCCTTGGTGTTCACCTGTCGTGCTTGTCAAGAAGAAAGATGGTTCAACGAGGTTTTGTGTAGACTATCGACGATTGAATGATGTAACCAAGAAGGATAGCTACCCGTTACCAAGAATCGATGACACACTTGACACACTGAGTGGCATGAAATGGTTTTCAACGCTCGATCTGAAAAGCGGCTATTGGCAGGTGGATTTGGATCCCAAGGACAAGGAAAAGACCGCATTCTCAACTGGGAAGGGACTCTGGCAATTTAAGGTGATGCCATTTGGATTATGCAATGCACCGGCAACCTTTGAGCGTTTGATGGAACAGGTGCTGGTGGGACTGCTGGGC